AGAGAGAGATTTTTGGCGATTTCCTCCCTGCGCTGCCCTGTGATAGACGAGGGCACTGTGCTTGCCCAGCCTAGGGTCAGCTGGCTGCATGCGGACCGCCAGGCGGCTGCGAACCAGGGCGCGGCGCCCCGAGTGTGCACCCCTGCGGGTGTGTGCCAATACGCCTGCACATTTGCGGTGCCCGCGTCCCCCTCCTCGTCCCCGGCCATCGGGTCGGCGTGCGCCCCAGCTGAGGAGCCCCAGCCCCGCAGACTGCGCGTGGCCAGCTCCGAGCCCACTCGCGGGGTGCGGGGGCCACGCGGCGCAGCGGCGCCGCCAGTTCTGTGAAGTTAAAACACAGCGGGAACTCTTCAGTGCTAGAGAGTGGATTGCATGCCGATTCTCCAAGACAAGAGCCATATATATTTATGGTAATTCATGGGCTACTCGAAAGGCATATGTTGTTTATTCACTAAAGCAGCCCGGGTTCAGTTTCCTTCTTACTCTAGAGGCTAGGAAGGTTCCCTAGCGGCTTTCTGGTAATGAGGGACCCAAGAGTAACACCACCTCAACCTGCGAGGAAAGGAAAGTCGTTTCCGACCCAGCGGTACGCGCGGTGCAGCTCCCTTCAGGCACGGAATTCCGGAGCGCGAGCGTCCGCGCGCGTGATCGTGGGTCAAAGCGTGCTGCTGCGAGCCCCGCGAGTTCCTGTCCACCGCTACCGCCCAGCCCCTCAGCCCCTGCTCTTCCGGGAGATGGGTCCTGCCTTCCGCGGGCAGAAGGAAAGGATGCCAGCAAAAATGGCTAATCCTCTTCCAGCTGCAGCAAATCGACGACTGGCCAAAGCCAGGGGGAGACCGCTGCAGTTAAAATGATCGTAGCGTCGCGTCTCTGGCTGAGAAAGGAGCGGCAGTGCATAAAACGACCTGTGGATCAACGAAAAGGAAATTATAGTGTATCCGACTATTAATACAGTGTTGCTTCTCTGCTTCCCATCCCTCCCCGCCCCCTTTTCTTTTTCTTCAGATCTGCAGGGTGCAATAAAATGTTTTGTGTTCAAGCTGACTCGTCAGAATCGTGGAGCCGTGTGAAAATGACGGTAATTTTCTCATATGTTCGTTTGTACGTGTGGGAACACTTGTGTGTGCGCGCGCTTGTGAGCGCGTTTAGGTGTGAGAGACATGCGGCTGAATGACAATGCAGATCCAGAATTTGTTTGGGAAGGAGGGTTTCTACATGGGCACTGTACAGAGTTTTAGCAGATTTAGGGCGTTTGCTGAAAGCTAGAGACCTTGCAGAGGGGGTGATGAGAATGTGGAGAGATGGCCAGATTTCCTTGTAAATAATCACTACATCCACTGTAACACTTAAACTGCTTTTTTTTTTTTTCTCCCTTTGGTAGTAGATGCGTTTGAATGGTAACTCTCCCCTCAAACGTGGGTTACAGGCGTCTCCTAGCGGCGAAAGCAGCATAGAGCAAGCCGGATCATTTTGCTTTGGAGCCCTCCTCCGGCAGGGCTCGCCTGTTGGGGGATCTGCTGGATTTCTTGGGTCACCGAAACCTGTGTCCGCGCCGGCGACGCCAGATCGGGGCCTCCTAAGGTCTCGCCTCTCTGACTGTTAGTCTCTGTGGCGCCGGCAGCGGACCAGAAGGGTAACGGTGGGGTCTTCGCAGAATTGACCCGAGCCAGCCTCCCCCATGCCCTCTGGGAGGCACTCCTTCCAAGGACCATTGCAAAAGCATTTTGTTTGAAGCCAAGATTTATATTCTGACATTAACAGCCCTCTCTCCCTCCTTACCCGTGAGCCATTAGCACAACCCAACCCTGTCACCCACAAAGCTAAACACTGAATTTGCCTTTTAAAAATACTTTTAAAACACAGCAGTTTTGCATTCTCCCTGGCTGTGGTATCCAGCAGATCCTCGATACTGTTTTTCCCCATTCCCCTTCCGCTGACCTCAGAATTACGAGAATCCCTAATGTCATATACATCACTCTGGATGGGGAGGTCGATGAGCTGTCTGAATGAGTAGAGTATCACATAAGTCCTGCGTTCCTTCTTGAACTCCCCTAGAAGGAAGTAGGGAGGGAGAAGTAAACATAGGCACAGAACCTGTCCCTCCCACACCCCCGCTCCAGGAGCTCCAGCCTTCTGAGTGAACAAACTGCGTCCCAGGACAAGGGGGGAAACAAGTCTGTATCATGTGGAGAAAGATTATAAAAATCAATTTTCATGAAAGTCTTGGTTTATATGTGGGAATGATAATGTACATTCTTCTGTTTTATTGGGTTCGCAGTGGAGCAGAAGTAAGGGGACATTAAGGTTCTTCCAGTACATTTTGCAAACCTTAAAACTAGGTTAGGGGGTTGCTTTCTTTTGTCTGCCCTTTGCTGAAAGGGGCGGAAGGGAAACAAGTGTGTTAACCAGCGTGTGGATAAATGAGTGTTTGCAGTGATTTAACATGACTCAAAAGCAATTTGTTTCTAAATCCTCTTATTATTGCAGTGTGCCCAGAGCTTTGAGAGGATAAGTCCCCCCCACACTTCTTTTAAAGAATTGGAAGGCAAAATTTTAATTTATTAATAAGAAGGGTTTCAAACTCCAGACTGGACCAGGATTGAGTTAGATGGTTCCCGGAGCTTCTCATTTCCAGCAAATGAAGCTCAGAGTTCAAATGCAAAAGACCAAGACTGAGTTGTGTCTCTCCTGGGTGACCATGAAATAGGTTTACTTGCAGTAATGTAACCCGGCTTAACTAGGGAAAAAGGAAGGATTTGGAGCCCCTGCCATTTGAGTGTGTTAGCTTTTATTCATCTGCCGAAAGAGTGAATAATAACTAGAATTCCTGAGAAAGATTTGTAACATATGCTCTTATAAGTATTGAGGTAACTGTCGTTACTGTATTATAATGTTTTGAATCCCATCGAGAATAAACCAGTCCTTCTTGGAACTGAGAATATTAGATATTCCATTAAGTCCCATTGTCTTGATGTTCAAAGTAGAAATTATTCAAAGCAGAAATGTGCATCTCCATTCTGTTTAACCTAGCTAATATTGGTGTGGCTTCACATTTCCTTGTCTTCTCAGCTATCAAAAAGGGCCAGCATTTTGTTAAACTCAAACAGTGAATTAAAAGCACTGAATGAGCTGAAGCAACCCTCTAATGCAAAATGACAAATTGCACTTAAGCAATACATGAACAAGAAAATGATTTATGGATTTTTACAATGGCCTGCGCAAATGAAAACAACATGAATTATACATCCTAATGTTCAAGATGTCATTTTCTAATAATACTGTTTCAGTTCAGATACCATATTCCTTTCTATAACAGAAATTGACCAATAAAAGGTCCACAAATATTTTTAAAATAGGCAATGGATTTGATTCTGATGCTGTGTGTGTTTATGTGTGATATATATGTGCATTTATATATGTATTATAGATATATATGGTTGTATTTTCCCTGGGTGTTGCGATGGGGTAATTAGTATGAACACATACTCTTGCTAGATCCTTTACATATTATATTTTTGTAGTAAGTTGTCTTTTGGAAACTCATGTTGTTCCACACTATCTTTCATAATGCAAATAGATAAATCTCAGTTAGAATGACAGTCTTTATTGGCTCTTGACCTCTTTTTTCTGAAAACCACAATGCATTACCTCATCTTACCTTTTTCTTCTACTGGTTTGGATACTGAAAAATCTTATTTCTCAAAATTGCCTCTTAAAGGCTTCATATTTGTTTTATCCTACTTTTTTCAGAATATTGTTTTATTCCTTAGTGTATAAAAAATGTTCTTGGGTTAATAAAAAGGTGTACAGCTTCTTTTCTCTCTTTTCTTTCCACTTTATTTTCTTTGATCATACTTTAGTTTTTTACCTTTATTAGACAAAAGATATCCTATAGAATATCTTGGATTTAAAAATATATCAGTCAGATAAAACTCACGTGATGCCT